AGAGAGAGAGAGAGAGAGAGAGAGAGAGAGAGAGAGAGAGAGAGAGAGAGAGGAGATGGGGTAGGCTCTGTGACTGATGGGATGGTTCAACATTTACCACACAGTAAATCAGTAAAATGTAGCCAACAGCCAGGCAGTGGTGGCACATGCTTTTAATCCCAACACACAGGAGGCAGAGGCAGCGAGTTCCAGGACAGCCAGGGCTACACAGAGAATCTTGTCACAAACAAAAACAAACAAACAAACAAACAAAAAAGAAAAGATGGGAGGCAGAGCCAGGCAAACCTCTGAGTTGGAGGCCAGCCTGGCCTATAGAGCTAGTTCCAGGACAGCCAGGGCTGTTAACATAGAGAAACCCTGTCTCAAAACAAAACAAAACAAAACAAAACAAAACAAAACAAAACAAAACAAAACAAAACAAAACAAAACAAAACAAAACAAAACAAAACAAAACAAAGAAATAAAAATAAAATAAAAATCCCACTACTAGGAAATACTGGGAGCAGGAGAAATAGTCTTCCCCAGGTTATCCAATACCAGATGGTCAGTCCTGGAAACATATAAGTAATACTACACAAACTGAGAAATATATATATATCTAAAAAGAGGCCATGAATTTGAAAGAGAGCAAGGAGGGGTGTATGAGAGAGTTTGGAGGGAGGAAAGAGAATCTCAGGAAAATGATGTAAGTGTAGTTTCAAAATTACAAGAAATTTATTTTAAAAAGATCCCGAGTGAAACTACCCCCTCCACGAATGCCCAAACGTAAAGAATATATTTTCTTTGATGAGCCATGTGAACAAGGCCTCTTTCTGGATTCTTGCTGGGCTGTTAGCAGGTTGTGAAAACCCAAGAGGAGGGTGGGACTAGAGAATAGGATCCATTGGCTCTCCTCCCGTGGCCCACCTGTGGTCCAGGCAGGTAGCTTCTTACAGATCATCTCCATTTTCTCCTCCCCCTGAGGCTGGGGGAAATGATGGCTCTGAGCTGTCCCTGTGGCCAAGCTGTCTTCTGCCATTTCTTGTGGCTTCCCTTAGCCCTGCCCACCTGCTGTGAATGGTCCCTTTATTTCCCTCTGTCTAGTTCCCTTCTTTATAGACTATTGTTTTCCTGCATAAACCGTGACTTTCTGTCAGCTCCCCTTCCTGGGGTGCAGACTGTCACCCTGCCTCCCCAGCCAGCCTTCCCTCCTGGCCCGTGGCCCCTTTTCTCATGTCTCTCACATGCAGCCACCAGCCCTTCCCAGTCGTCCACTCCTTGTTCTTCACACACTCTTCCCTCAGACAGCCCTCTTCCCCGACCATTTCCGATGGGCCGCGCACATGCACATAAAGACGATGGGGCAGATGGATGGAGAGATAGCTAGATCTGTAATGGCACCATCTTGCTTTTAACTTTTTAAATTAGATAGTATTTCTTTTTCATTTCTTCCTTTTTTTTTTAAACACAAGGTGGAACATGTTAGGCAAATACTTTGTTTGCCACTAAGCTATTCCATCAGCCCAAGTAAGCATTATTTCTATACACACACACACACACACACACATACACACACACATACACACACACACACACACACATACACACACACATACACACACACACACACAAATAGTACACACACATACACACACTTAAATAATAATACACATACACACTTAAATAATAGTGATAATTGTGTGTGTGTGTGTGTGTGTGTGTGTGTGTGAAGTGAACACCCACCTAGACCAGTCAAGCTGCCTGGAAGAGACAGAGATCAGCTGTCCGGAGAGGACACTCTCCAACCTGTTGAGCTGCCTGCAGGGTGTGCAGTGTGCTCCAGGTGTCCAGCTTTCAAAAGTGGTCACCCACGCTGCGGTGGCCTTTTGGTGACACAGCTGTCTTTGAGTCATTTCTCCCCTGTACGGAACCTCTCACAATTAACCTATAGAAGTAGACACAGTAAAATTCGCTCGTTCACCGGCCTGGACTTTGGCGGTGCCCTTCCTTTGGCCTGTGATTTGTTTTCTGTCTGAGATGAGAGGTTGCTTGTGACTCCATAGAAACAGTGTCACACGACAGGTCCCCAGGACCACATCCCCCCACCCTTCCTACACATAAGACATGACCACTAGTTGAGTTTTGATGTAGTCTCAAAGAAGAGCACCCAGAATTTCCTGAAAGCATTCCCAAAATGCTTCTTTTCATGTACAAGTTTGCAAAGCGAGGTTTCTCTCCTATTCTTTCAAACAAGTCATGCTATGTAGTTCTGGCTGGTCTAGAACTCACTAGATAACCCAGGCTGGCCTTGAATTTGTGGCAATCCTCCTGTCTCAGCCTCTCCAGTGTTGGGATTAGAGATGTGAGTCACCACACCGGGCCCTTCACATTCTTCAGACAAAACAATAAGCCGCATATGGGAAGGCAGATGGCCTCTGCTAACTAAGACAGACTTTCAGGTCAGTGACACGATATCGCTCTTCTCAAACTTGTGTTTTGTTTTGGGACACAGCTATATTTAATAAAGCATGTTATTTATTTCTGAAGTATATTCTAGTTAGTAAAACACACTCAAGTTTGTTTAACAGGGTCTGGAGAGGTGGCCCAGTGGTTAAGAGAACTCTGTGCTCTTGCACATGCAGGCCTTAAACTCTTGATTCTCAAGAGTGCCACAGCCGTCAGCACTACGACCATGCCTGGCAGAAACCTGAAGGAGGAAAAAATTAAAATAATAAAAAATTTACATTTTTTAGGTAAAAGAATAACAACGAATCCATTACATACGAACAGATTAAAAATTTTAAAAGATTTTTAAATTTTATGTGTAAGAGTGTTTGCCTGGCTGCGTGATGGCAGTGCACGCCTTTAATCTCAGCACTTGGGAGGCAGAGGCAGGTGGATCTTTGTGAGTTCGAGGCCAGCCTGGTCTACAGAGCGAGATCCAGGACAGCCAGGGCTACATACAGAGAAACCCTGTCTCAAAAAGCCTAAAAAAAAAAAAAAAAAAGGTTTGCCTGCATACATGTTTGTGTACCATGTTCATCGGATGCAGATGCAGAGGGTATCAGATCTCCTAGAACTGGAGTTACAGACGATTGTGAGCTGAGATGCTGGGAACCCAGAGAGCGGCCTCCGCAAAAGCAGTAAGGAGGTTTAACCACCAAGCTGTCTCTCTGGCCCTTGTTTATCCTTGTTGTTTAATTACTTGTTGGGGGCTGTTTCTAGGAACTGAACCCATCTCAACGTCGAAGTGAGAGTCAGGGTTGCTGATGAAGGGACACCGAATTCAGAGAGTTCTTCCCCGGTCCTGCAGGCTGCCCGGAACCAAGGTGGGGGGCCTCCTTATCGGGGACCCTGCTCTTATCTCCTCAGTGGAGGAAACATTTGCTGGACGTCTTTCAAGAGGGAATGCTCTTTGTCTGTGGAGCTGGTGGACGTCTCCACAAGCGACTGAGAGAGTGGAGGAAAGGGGCCTTTGGCAAGGTAGATTGTGCCCAGCCCAGCAGAAGCTCCGTCTACCTTCCCTCCCTGCTGGGCTATGGGTGCCACGCTTGCAGGAGTGCCCATGTGGTTACTGATGCAGAGCAAAACGGGTCAGACTCAGGGATTCTGATCCCAAGCTCAGCTCTGCTCCTAGGACCGGAACTGGTTTTGACAAGTCCGAAGAATGAGATGTTTCTTGTGGAGAAAGGAGTCTTCCGGAGTGGTCCTTTTCCTTAAGACATTTCTTA